TACTATACCAATTACGGTAATATTACGTTGCGTGTGACAATGATAAACGAGTTTGGTAGTTGTGTCATAAAACGAGTTCATTATCTGACCGACTTATTACACAGTGTGATTGGTTAAGCATGAAATATTTGCAAAATTTGGTAAAATTAACATCTGTTGCAACTTACTTCACAGCATGTTTGCATTCATGTAATTCTTTTGTTTAAGCAGTGTCTGTTCATGAACATGTCCGAGCATTACTGTGGAGAAGATTTGATCAAAAATGGTCTTGCATTAATTGATTTTGATGAAATATCACTGAAAGGCCTTCAAACATTTGCAAGAAAAATCAAATGATTGATTTTTGATGCCACTGCCAGACGCCAATGTCAGACTCGAAATTGTCCATCCAGATGTGTGTTTTGAATTATGTTTGCAAAACAAACATTAGGGCATTAATTTAAAGCAGAGATATTACAAATCACAGAACCCAGAATGATGTACTTGAGTTAATGGGTGGCTGGACAAAGCTCAACTCAACCATTGCATAAACCCTAACTTGAACCTTTTCTGCTTAGTGTTCTCTGAACTAGGTCTCAACCACCATTTTTTGAAAAACAAACTGAAAAGTGCTGACAACTGAAGGCATGAAAACCGAATTCTACAGGAAGTTTGAGTCAATTTGTTTTGAACTATCCAGAAAAAATTGTTTTGGTGGGAGTAAACTTTTTAGCTCTGCTGTTGAATTTGTCGAGCTGAGCTTTATCATAAGAGTGTCCGGCATCTACCATCTGTGTAAACCTTGTGTAGACTTCTTTTAGATTTGTTCATTTCGTGAGGATATCTTCAATTCTCTAATTTTGCTAAATATTTTTGTCATTTTTAGTAAAAAGTGATACATGTATTTCTGACTTCTAGTCCGATTTCTTTGATACTATACATATAGGTACTTCAGGTAGACCTCTCAGCTTTGTTAATTTTTTTAATGATGTCTTCAGTTCTTTAATTGAAATGTACATTGCTAACAGCAGAGCTATGTTAGCCGAGAGGCTGTTATTTGCCTCTTCAAGAGTAAATTACTGTTTATAATCCACTGCAAATCCTTGATTCTGCTCAACAGGTCTAGTTGTGTGATAAGAATACAGAGATAACATATATCGATACATATTTCAAGATAATTAACAACAATTTCTTTTTTTCAGAGTAAGCGAGGTGATAAATTTATTAAATGTGATGTTACACCGCCACTGCCAATATGTGGAGATATTAAAATAGAATTTTTTCATAAAACAAACATGCTTACAAAAAGGGTGAGTAAATTAGTCTTTTTCAAAGATGTCCAATTTAATTTTCTTTCACTACCAATATTGTTTTATTAGTTTCGGCCAAACATAAATTATTGGTCATTTTAAACACTGGGATGAATTATTAGGGTTCTTTATGTAGTTGTTGATGGTTTATTGAGTGTTAACTTTTATTGATGGTTGTAGGGGTTTAATAAAATGAGGACGAGGGTGTCACTGGCTGGGTGTGGCACTGACACAATGGGTAGGACAATAACCCTGGCTAAGTGTATCAAATGTTGATTCTGTCATTTCTGTGGCAGACTGCACTATGGTTAGTTATACATAAATACTGAGCTACTCGTATAGAATCAAGATTTCACTACTTTCTTGGCAGGTTTGTATGCTTGATTACGTTGTGAAGTTTGCTTACTGAAATGATATCAGCTGGTCATTGTATCCTCAGTCAGCTTATGTTTTACGAGTGAATAAATTCATTTTCACTTGGTGCCATATATGAACTTATTCAGTTTACGTCAAATGAGTTAACTCACACTTTGTTATTTCTCTTTTAGGAAAAAATGTTTCATTTTTGGTTCAACACATTTGTGATATCAGCTGGTGAAAAAGTCTCAAATGGAGCGACGGGAAGTGAGGGCGACGACTGCGACATCTTAACACTAACACTTAGAAAAGATGAAATTGACAAAGCTAACAAAGATAAAACAAATAAAAATTTCTCACCAAATTTCAAGGTAAGATGTCTGATAGCCATCTATTATAATTTTTTTTCCCAAAAGGAAACAAAATATATTTATTGTGATTTATTCATCAGTTTACGTTCACATTTTTGTTGACTCTGCAGTCAGAGCAAAATTGATGTTGCTTGTTTTAAAGTATTCCTACAATGTTACGATAGCATCATAAAGACATGCTTCTTTCAATCGATCTTAGACACTGACTACTGATGATATCTTGTTGAGAATGAGACAACCACGTGGCTTGTTTTTTTCCACACAAAAAGTGTTCCACTGTTCTAGGTATAATGGGAAGATTTAATGATGGGAGAGAAAGGTATATTAAAAAGTCTTG